CCCACAAATCATGAGATCATGACCTGAGCTGAAGTTGGACGCTCAACTGACTGAGCCCCCCAGGCGCCCCATCAGGGCCCTTTTCTTAATTGAGAGGTAATTGATACATGCCGTTATAGTCCAGGTGTACAACGTGGTTCCATGTTACTAGCATCTGTACCATACATACTTACAATTAGTTTTTCTTACGACGAGAACTTTTCAAACTTACTCCCTTAGAAACTTTCAAATACGCATTAACTACAACCACTGTGCTGCGCGCTGTACCCCAGAGCTCGCTCACAGTGTAAGGAAATGTGTCCCTTGTGACCCCCTGCGCCCAGGGCCCCCCTTTCACTGCCCCAGCCTGTTAGCCCCTGTGTGCCTGGGATAACCACCCGGCCTCAAGCCCTCCCTCTCCCCGTCCCCCCATCTGCTGGGGTCAGATGGGCAGGCAGAGGCCCCGTCTCCCCAGCCCAGGGTCCCCCTGCCTTTGGTGGCCCTTGGCTTGGACACACGGCCCCAGGGTGTTCCTGCCATCTCCCTGGTCGGCTGTGGCCACCTGAGGGAGTCTCTAGGGCTGTGCTCTCCCCTCCGCGCTGGGACCTTCTTCACCTTGGGAACGAGGGGGTTCAGATTTCCTGCTGCCTCCTTGGCTCCAGATCACGATTAGCCTTAAGAACGGGGTTTGGCAGCCCCAAATAGGGACATTTATTTCTTCCTTTCCAATAGACATGGTTTTTATTCCCTTTTCTTGCCTTGTCACACAGGCCGGAGTCACGTCACCATGCTGGACGAGGGCTGTGACGGCAGATGGCTTGCTTTGCTTTCAGTCAGGGAGAAAGAGCTCAGTCTTTCAGCATTAAGTATGATGTTAGCCGCAGGTGCTTTGTAGACTTCTTTATCTGGTTAGGAAGTTCCCTTCTGTTTTTATTTTTCTGGGAGTTTTTATCCTAAATGGTGTTGAATTCTGTCAAATGCTTTACCAACAGTGATGGTCACAATCATGTGATTTTCCTTCATTAGTCTGTCATATTGGTTGGTTTTTGAACATTGAACTGTCCTTGGATCCCTGGATGAACCTCTGCTTGGTCACGATGTGTGATGTCTTTTATACATTGATAATATTTTGTTACGGACGCTCTTCCATGAGGATTCTATTCTCTATGCAGCTATCAATCTATAGCTTCTTTGAGTGCGATCTGCGTTCTTTACCAGTCTTGCTAGGGATTGGTCAACATTATTGATCTTTTCAAGAAACCAGATTTTTGTTTCATTAATTTTCTCTACTTAGCTTTTCTGTTTCTGGTTCACTGATTTATAGTCTTTATTATTTATTCCTCTACTTGCTTTGGGTTTATCTTGCTCTTCTTTTTCTAGGTTCTTGGGTGAGAGTGTAGGTTATTAAATTGAGACTTTTCTTCATCTCTAATTAATGCATTTACTTCCATAGATTTCCCTGTCAGCACTGCTGTTAGCTGTGGCTCGCAAATTTTGATATGTTGTATTTTTTCATTTTCATTGAATTTGGTACATTGAAAAAGTTTTCCCTTGAGACTCCCTCTCTAAAACATGTGTTGCTTCCTGTTCTCTTTCTGTTATTGATTGTGTTGATTCCATTGTCCCTAGAGAAAGGCACTCTATATGACTTCAGTTGTGTCAAATTCACTGAGATTTGTTTTATGGCCCATGATATGGTCCATCTTGGTGTGTGTTCCATTGGCACTTGGAAAGAATGTGCATTGGGCAAAGTGTCTCGTCAATGTCTATTAGATCCTGTTGGTTGATGGTTGTTGACTCCTTCTACATCATGATGGATTTTCTCTCTAGTTTTCCATAGTTGTTGAGAGAGCGATGGTGAAATCTTCAAGTACAGCTGTGGTTTCTCATTTTCTTCTTTCGTTCTTAGTTTTTTGTTCACTTATTTTGTAGCTTTGTTGTTTGGTACATGGACATTTAGGATTGCTGTGTCTTCTCGGTAGATTGGCCCTTTTTTCATTATGACTCCATTAATTCTCTCTACTCTGAAGTCTACTTTATCTGATGATAATAGAGCCACCTCTGCTTTTCTTTGCTTAATATCTCCAGGTATATGCATATCTTTATCTTTTTCCATTCTTTTATTTTCAACCTGCCTATAAGTTATTTTTTAAGTGAGATTCTAGTAGACAGCATGTAATATTTATCCATTCTTCCAATCTTTATCTTTTAATTGGTATATTCAGACCATTTACATTTAGTGTAATTGTTACTATGTCAGAGCTTAAGTATGCCATGTTATTTTTAATTTCTGTGTGTTCTTCCTGTTTTTAATTTCTATCCTTTTTTTCTTGCCTTTCTGTGAACTACCATGTTTTTTATAATTCCATTTTTATTTATCTGTGGTGTTTTTGACCACTGGTATTTGTCTATGGTATAGCTTCTTAGTGGTTGCTGTAGGTATGACATAATGTGTATGTTACTTATCACAGTCTATTGGAGTCATCATTTTAACAGTTCAAGTAAAGTGCAGAAAATGTATTTCCCGGGGTGCCTGGGTGGCTAGTCGGTTGAGCATCCGACTTCAGCTCAGGTCATGATCTCACAGTTTGTGGGTTCGAGCCCCACGTCGAGCTCTCTGCTGACAGCTCAGAGCCTGGAGCCTGCTTTGGATTCTGTCTTCCTCTCTCTCTCTCTGTCCCTCCCCCACTTGTGCTCTCTCTCTCTCTCAAAAATAAATTAAAATGGTAAAAAAAATTTTTTTTAGAAAATGTAGTTCCCTGTACATCCCTTTACCCTTTCCACTTAAAATATAATCGCCCTAAATATTTCCTTTGTGTACATTTAGAACCACATCAGACAGTGTTATAAGTTCTGCTTCAACCACCAAACACAATTTAGAAGACCCAGTTCTATTTTACTTAAAAACATGGTTTGCTCTCTGTGTTTTTTCCTTTCTGATGGTCAGACGTGCTTTCTTTTATCATTTCCCTTCTGTTTAGAGAACGTGTTTCAGCTATTCTTTTAGGGTAGGTCTGCCGCTGACAAATCTCTTACTTTCCCTACATCTGAGAATGTATTGGCTGCCTCTTCATTCCTTGAGGATATTTTTGCTGCTTTTGCAGTTCTTTTCTTTTAGTGTTTGGAAATGTGTCACTTCCTTCTGGCTTCCCTGGTTTCCAATGAGAAATCCTGTCACATTAATTGTCCTGCTGCATGGAACAGTGTTTCTCAGTCTTTAGTTTTTAGAAGTTTGCTTATGATATGTCTCGGCATAGGTCTCTTTGGGTTTATCCACTCTAGGACTTGCTCACCTTCTTGAAGCTGTATGTGTTTGCCTTTCGTCATATTTGGAGTGTTTTCAGACACTATTTCTTTAGGTGCTCTTCCAGCTGCCCTCTTTCTCCTCTCCTTCCAGGACGCTGATAAAAACAAATGTTAGATCCTTTGTTCTTGTCCCACAAGTCCCTGAGCTTGGTTTTGTTTCATTTTTCCAGTCAGTTTCTCTCTGTTGTTCAGACTGGGTTCATTTCTGTTGTTCTTCCTTCCAGCTGTGCCATCCTCTGCCCTCTCCATTCTGCCGGCAAGCCCACCCATTGAGTTTTTAAATTTCAGTTATGGTGTTTGTACTTGTAAATTTTCCACTTGGCTCTTCTTCATACTTTCTATTTATTGAGGCTGTTTCTTAAATTTGTTCTAAGAGTGTTCATAAGTGCGTGTTGAAGCATGTTCACGACAGCGGCTTTAAAATCTCTGTCAGATAATTCTAACATTTCTTTCATTTTGGCATTAGCATCTATTGTCTTCTTAAATATGAAGTTCATGAGACCGAGCCCCACATCAGGCTATCAGTGCAGAGCCCACTTTAGATCCTCTGCTCCCCTCTCTCTCTGCCCCTCCCCTGCTCACGGTCTCCCTCTCTCTCTCTCTCAAAAGTAAATAAACACCAGGGCGCCTGGGTGGCTCAGTTGGTTAAGCATCTGACTTCAGCTCAGGTCATGTCATGATCTCATGGTTTGTGAGTTCCAGCTCTGCATCGAGCTGACAGTGTGGATCCTGCTTGAGATTCTCTCTGTCTCCCTCTCTCTCTGCCCCCCGCTCCCGCCCTGCTCATTCTCTAAATAAATAAATAA